GATTACAGGCCTGTGCCACCAGACTTGGTTTATTATTATTATTATTATTATTATTATTATTATTATTTATAAGCATATACTAATTGTATAAGATAATGGGCTTAATTCTGACGTTCCAATACATCTATGTAATGCACTTTCCTCCTTTTGTCTTTGATGAAAGTGTTGTTATAGCAAAACACAGAGGTACAGACTAAAAGAAAGTGAAATCCACGCTTGCTCAACAAAGCTACAAGCCTGGAGATTTCCCATATTTAAAAATCTTCTAAAATCCACCCCCACAAGAGGGGACATTGTGCATTTGTGACAAAATATAAAGGTGATAAAATATACTGAATTCTGTAGGAATTGTTTCTGATGCAGGTTCAACCCCAAGTTTTGCATTCTTTATAGAAATAGCTCTTGGTACTGTAAAGGAAAAATGAAGAAACAGGAATTATTTTATAGAATATGTTGGAGATTATTTACTGGTTGCTGGTATTCCTTCAGATATAGGAGACCTTTTCAAATAACACATGCTCCCCACCCCCCACCTCCTTTGTCGAGACACATCTGCTGTGGTGAGTCATAGTCACTGATAGGAGTAGGTGAAAGCCCTTAGGTGAATTGAGGTGAAAAAAAAAAAGTTCAGCTGTCTTCTCTTTCTGAACAAGATAGCCAAGCCTATTTACTTTCTAAGGTAAAAATGAATCATTGGAAATGTCACTTAACTTTATCCAATATTAAATAACTATATTGGGGTGCTTTAAAAGAAGATTTGCATTCAAACTACTTATACAAGTGAACAGCTTACAAGTTGCAATTGCATTTTTTAAAAAAATAAGCATAATGTTCTTATACAATGTTCTTGTTCACATTTTCACTTCTGTGGCATTTGCTATAAAGAACAAAGCACTTCTAGAATGCTCATTTTAATTTCAAAGGTTAGGGTATTTTGTGGGAAGCATTTGGTGCTTGGAGGATTCAAACAGTAGTGGAAGATTGTGTAGTGGGAAACAACGTGAACAGTGCAGTTAAAATGTGGTGGGAAGGAACCTTTCAGACAAGATCCTCATTCTTCACTTTAAACAAAAGTTTTAAATGAGGTGTTAATCTAGACAAATACCTTTTAACTCTGTAAGTAGGAGCAAATATATTTGCCTTTTGGTGTTTGCGAAAGCCCCTGCGATACATCAGGCTCTCTGTCATCTTCCTATGGTACCGTTTAGCTGCTGGTGAAACATACCAGTGTGCTATGAACCGCCCACATCACACTCAGTTGGGAGGTGGGAGCTCCATGAGGAAGATAAGATTAGGCCCAAAGAAAGCACCTTTGACATGGATTGTGGTGACCAATTTTTGTATCTCCATTGTGCACAGACTAGAGAATATGCGGTGTGTCTTGTTATGAATTTTAAGAACACTGGACCTTACTTAATCAATTCATACTCTTACTGGATAATGGGATTTCCTTTCTCCTTCTCCTCCCTCTTCTCTCCCCCACTCCCTTTCTTATCTTACTTCCTGAGACAAGATCATCAAGGTGTCTCAGGAAACCATAATATACAAGCAAAAGACTAGTAAGAAAAAAAAAAAGCCCAGACAAAGCAATATTGGACAAAAAAATTTAAAAATACACCATTGAGTTCATTTTTGTATGGTTAATATACCCAATGAGACTCTATTGGAGAGACTATTTTCCTTTTCAAGTGCAGATCGTTTCTTGGTTAGGGGTGGGAGCCCATGTCCACTTCCCCCTCTCCGTAGTAGGACCCCTATTAGGCTTGAACCTGTGCAGGCCCTATGTGTGCTGCCACAGTCTCTGTGAATTCATATGTGCATCAGTCTTGTGTTTGGAAGATGCGGTTCCCTTGGAGTCATTCATCACTTCTGGTTCTTAATCAAACTTTCTGCCTCCTCTTCCACATAGCTCTCTGAGCCCTGAGGGGACTAGATTGATGAAGACATTCCATTTAGGACTGAGTGTTCCAAATATTTCTCACTCTGCACATTGTCCAATTTTGTGTCTCTGTGTTAGCTCCAAACTACTGCAAAAGGAAGCTTCTCTGATGATGGTTGAGCTAGGCACTGATATATGGGAATAGCAGAATGTCATTGAGTCATTTTATTACTACATTCCTTTAACAGACTAATATTTGGTTTTCCTGTAAGCCCATGGCCTAACCAGTCTCAGGTTCTTGACCACCAGAGCATTGTCAGGCATGGGTTCTATGTCATGGAGTGGGCCCTAAGTCCAACCAGATAGAGGTTGGTTACACCCACGTTTATGCCATGATTGCACCAGCATATCATGCAGGTAGGTCACCACTGTGGATTGAAGCACTTGTAACTGGGTCAATGGTTACTTTTCTCCTCTGGTAGCATGCAGAGTACCTTCCGTTACCATGAACACTAATCAGTAGGGGTGAAGACTGCAGTTAGGCATCAGCAGGACTTCTCCATGTTCAATGAAATATGTAAATGTTGTCTTCAGCAACAGAACCTTTTCATCAGTTTGTGGAGAGCAACCAATATCCTTGGCAATAACTTGGGATTTTGGGGGTTTCCATGGGGCCCTTTTGGCCAATAACTCAACTAGATATTACTCATTCTTGGCACTGGAGGTTTCATGTGGTGGCAAAAAATGTCTGCTTAGGGTTTGTCTCCCTCATTATTTGGTGATTCTATTTAGGTTTCTTCCTTTTATGTATAGATTTTAAGAAGCTTCTACAGTAGTAGGTTTCCAGATGACCCTCAAATGGCCTTTAGTGTTATTTGTTCCTCCCTGTATTTCCCCATACTCCTGTCTTCTTTCCCTCTCCCTGTTTAATTCTCCAGCTCCAGCCTCTCCCTATCTCTCTATAACTATCTATTCTATTTTCCCTTCTCCCCATTCCCTTGCTCCATGCCTAACCTCTGTGGTTATATGGTTTGTAGATACTTATCAAATGTTAAAAGCTAACATCCACATGTAAGTGAAAAATACAGTATTATCTTTTTGGGTCTGAGTTACTCACGATGTTTTTTTTTTTTTTTCCCAGTTCCAAACATTTACCTTCAAACTTTCTTTCTTTCTTTTTTTTTTTCCTTTTGGTTTTTTCAAGACAGAATTTCTCTTTGTTCCTGGTTGTCCTGGAACTTACTCTGTAGACCAGGCTGACCTCCAACTCAGTGATTCATCTGCCTCTGCCTCCTGAGTGCTGGTATTAAAGGTGAGCACCACCATAGCCTGAATGCAAATTTCATTTTTTAAACAGCTGAATAATATTCTATTGTATAGATATACCACATTTCACTATCCATTCATCTGTTAATGAACATCTAGGTTGTTTCCAATTTCTAGCTATTATGACTAGAGCAGCAATGAACATGGATGAGCAGGTGTCTCTTTTGTGGGATGTAGAGTCCTTTGGGTAGTGCCCAAGAATGGGTAGAGCTGGATCTAGTCCCATCTTCCTGAGGACCTGCAAGCCCCTTAGTTTTAAATTTTATTTATTGTTAGTGTATGTCTGTGTGTGCCTATGTATAATATCTGTGGGCACATGTGCCACAGTGTGTTTGTCGAGGCCAGAGGACAACTATCAGAAGTTAGTGCCCTCTTTCTACTATGACTCCAATGATCATGAGGCATACTTGGCAAGTGCTTTTACTTATCTTACTGGCTCTGTTTACTTGTTTCTAATTAACAAATAAATGTGTATATATATGGGGTACAATGGTGGTTTGGTATGTGCATACCTTGTGGAAAGAGTCAGTCTAGCTAATTAACATAGTTAGCATCTCACTGACTTACCATTGGAGTCCCTAATTCATACACTGGATAGAAGTTATTTTTCTGCTTTATAAAGTTTTATCCCAAAATTTCTTCTGGGACCCTAGGTTTAATTAAGAAATGATTATTTAGCAATGGATTAAATGATTAAAAAGCAATGGATATTTTTCATAAAGTAATAGTATAAACTTTTGTTTCTAAATATATTTTCTCCCTATTAAATGGAGAATTTCATGCATGAATATAATGTGTTTTTATTGAATCCACCCTCCCAATTCCCTCCTCTCCAACTCCTTCCTTATGCTCCCACATTTTCCTCCCAACTTTATTCTCTCTCTCTCTCTCTCTCTCTCTCTCTCTCTCTCTCCCTCTCTCTCTCAAAACAACAACAACAAACAAACATCACATCCACTTAGTGATACCTACACACCAATGTGGGTAGGGCCATCTATTGGGAGTATGTATAGCCTCTCAGGGTAGAAGAAAACTGACTTTCCTTCTCCCACCACCTGTCAGTTGCTAATATCTCCTCAACTAGGGTTGCAATTTCCTGAGCCCCTCCCCCATCCGTGCTGGGATTTTGTCCAACTTGTTTGTAGTCACAGTTGCTGTAAGCTCATGTGTGCAATGGCCTATCATATCCAGCAAATAATGTTTCACTGTAGACATCCACTCCCTCTGTCTTTTACAATCTTACTGTCCCATCATCTGTGATGATCCCAGAGCCTATTTGGGGGACAATGACCTTGAACGTCTTATCTTCCCACTGCCATCTCCTGGTATCTTCCTACCTCCATCATCTAAGTGCTGGGATAAGAGGTGTGTGCCACCACACCTGGTATGAGCTGCAGTAGGGCTCAGACTTAGGGGAGCATGCTTGCCAGTCAAGTACCCTGTCCACTGAGCCATGTCACCAATGAACTTTTTCCCATGTTCTCCTTCTTCATTAAATATATGTATTTTTTTCCACATGGAGTTTCTGGCACACCCACAATCCTCTCAGGCCTTTATCTAGTAGTAAAACTTGATGAGGTTTAATAACCATGACTTTCCTTTCTAGTCATCAGTTGGGATTCCTGTGGCTGCTCTTGACGGAATGACTTGATTTCTGGGGATGTAACAACAACAGTCCCTGGAATGAGTCTTGTTACCGGAGACATGATTATGTTTCTTCTGGGCTGTTATCCCTCAAGATTGGGTTCTCCCTACAAGATGTTTAATAAGTTCCTTGTGTTTTTTCCAATTTTAGGTTACTACACTTGTAAATTGCCCACAGAATCCTTCCAACAGGAAAAAGGGACGTTCAAAGAGAGCCAGAGTTCTCCTGGCTTCTGTGGAGGAAGCAACTTGGAATCTGTTAGACAAGGGGGAGAAGATCGCCAAGGAAGCAACAGCTTTAAAGGAAGAGCTAACTGCTGCACTCCAGGAAGTTCGCAAAGAGAGTGAGTATCCAGTCCCCGGTCAAGAGCTTACTGCATATCCTCAGGGTGTTAGTTATTGCCGTAGATGTGTGAGGGTTCTGTTTTGCAAGCTTGAGTTTATTAGTCTTGGCAGACAGCTGTGAAGTGCGAGCTGTGGGAGGCAGAGTGGCTCATTAGGCAGCTCCAAGGTGGATTCCCAGTCCTGGCTCTTATCTGATTATTGAGACTCTGAATACAGCTCCCCACTTCCAACCATACTGCATGCAGCTTCTCCATAACAAACAGAGAGGTTTAACGAAGTGGAAGATGCCTTTGCCCATACACAATGAATTATAAAGTTCATTATAAAGAGTCGAGAGATATTTCCTTTCTGATGGGCTCAGAAATATGTTTGCTACTTTTCAGTATTGGAAGCTTAGGTTTACCAAGCCTTTTTTTTTTTTTTTTGGTAAGGCTTTATGTAAACCACACATGATCCATGTTTTGCTTTGCTCATATTATATAATAAAATTATATATTCTGCCCTTTGATATTTTTACTAAGATAACACAGCAATCATCTCCCCCCACCAAAACTACAAGTCTCATCTGCAGGATATTTAAGACAAGATTTAAAAAATTTAATTTGTGCCTATGGGGGTGCATTTGTTCAGTTGTTTTTGTCTATGCAGGTGTATGTGAAGGCCACAGGTGGATGCTGGGGTGTCCTCCTGTTGCTTTCATGTCCTTCCTATCTGTCTGCTTGTCTATGTATCTACCCACCTATCTATGTATCTATCATCTATTTATTTATTTAGAGACAGGGTCTCTCACTGAATCTGGGCCTTGCAGTTCTGTCAGGCTGCTCATCAAGCCCGTGGGAACTGCCTGTCTCAGCCTTCCAGTGCTAGGGTTATAGATACGCACTACCACACCCAGGGGATTTTCGCCTTTTCACATGGGTGCTAGGGATCTGAACTCAAGTCCCCAGGCTTGCTCAGAAACTACCATATCCATGGGTCCATCTCCTAGCCCTATAAGATATCTGTAAAAGAACTATTTGATGATGTTATGCTTATCACTTTGTTGCAACTATTTTGGGAGGGAAAACAAAGTCTAACTCTCTTTGCTTAAATATTTTTCTCCCCTGAACCCTGGTACAACATTACGAAAATCAGAAAGAGCCAGGTACTGTGATCTCAGTACTCAGGAGGTTGCAACTGAAGGTTGACAAATTCTCAGCCAGCCTGAGCTATCTCGTGGACACCCGTGTGTGTGTGTGCGTGCGTGTGTGTGTGTGTGTGTGTGTGTGTGTGAGAGAGAGAGAGAGAGAGAGAGAGAGAGAGAGAGAGAGAGAGAGAGAGAGAGAAAGAGAGAGCAAGAGAAAGAGAGAGTATTTCTTAATCAAAATAAACATACTGGCCATATACAGGACAGAGGGGATTATGCTAAAGTTGTAATTTTTGATTTTGGAGGTACACAGCATTGTCTCGTGGGGTTCATGTTGCAAAACCATTTCTACAGCAGAGTGCACGGATGTAGCTCTCCTCTCATATACTTATCTCTTATGGAACAGCTGGATGCACTTGCTCAGGAAGGTTTCTTACTGGAATTTACTGCAGCCCCATTGAACATTAGAGCTCCATTTCTACTCTCCTCCCTTTCTGATACCTTATGACCTTTGACCCCCCATCTCCTCACTGACCTTATATTTTCACCCTGTCCTGGTAATCACTATATTTGAATTCTTTCTCCTTTTTCCTTTTAAAATTACTTTTTTTTTAAAAAAATTATTTTTAGTTCCAGTTAGGGAACAAACTTGTTTCACATGTAAGTTCCTTCTCCCTCTCCCTCCCCCCACCCTCATCCCTACTCCCCCA